CAGCATTCCGTAAATACACACTGCATTAAGTAGGAAATGAGAGAGCCCCTGGAACAAACTTAGCAGACTAGACATGGCATCTCCTTAGTTTCTTCCCTCAGTCCGTAGCTAGGGGGATTGATGCTGGAAAAGAGTGTTTGGAACCATGTCTTCCTGACGGCTGGAGAGGGTTTCTTTGGTTTCCACTGGGCCTCAGTTAATATTTTGGAAGTTGATCATGGAGACACAGGGTAGGGCCAGTTCTTTGGTCAATCTGCTCCATTACCTAGCTGTCTCCTCTTCCTCTGAAACCAAGTATCAGAAATATTACATAACAACAACACTGAAAGAACAAGTTTACCTGATTCTCTAAACCTTAAGATATTATAAAAGATACAAATGAACGGCCAGACGCAAAGAGACAAGGTGTGTAGAATCGTTTCCTCTTGGAATCACCACTGGTCAGGAACCTGACCTACGTGTGTGTTCAGCAATCCAGCAAGCCATATATTCAGTTTATTTCTGAACCCTGAGCTTTGGAGTTGTTCTGGAAGCTTCGTTACATAGGCAAAGATAGTTACATCGTTGGCCACTACTGAGAAGTTAACCTTCAACTAGTTTTCCCTTTCTGGGGCTTGAGCAATATAGCTCTAATCGTATCTTGATTTTTTTTCAAGTGGTCGGACCAGCCACCAGTCACTTTACTAGCATGTGAAAGGTCTCATTTCTTATCAGTTGGAAGATTCCAACTATTTTAGAAGCTGTATGTCAGGAAATGGGGTCAAAGACTAAATATACATTTCACAACATTGCAGAATGATTTTAGATTCCTCTTTCAAAAGGTCTGAACAGTTAAAATCTGCTTAGTCCAAGAAATTCCTTCTGATCCCTCAGAAAGATGATTTCTACAACTTTCCACTCCAGCTCTCTTTCTTGAACACTTTGCACCCACCAGCAATGCCTTTTAAGGTGCTCCCAAAAGGCAAGAAAATCCTATATTGCAATAGTTGAGAGTGTCGTGTAATATATGATGTATGATATTTAAGGAATTTTCAAGAAATTTGCACGAAAGAATTCAAATTAAATCACAAAAATTGGCTTGTTGGTTATTTGACATTTATTGTGGGTTTACAGTGCATATTACACTCTAATCTTTCAGCTAAAATGGCTTGTTTTCCTTTTCAAGTTATTTAGTTGATGATTTGTGCAATCAGAGGCTGACTGTTGCTTCCTGTCTTTTGCAGATTGTGTCGAAGCACTAAACTCTTACCATATTCAGGTTGTGTGTGTGTGTGTGTGTGCATTTTATTTTTGAAACTGAAAACATTTTTTGGAGAAAAATATCACAGAGGGAAAAATCTTCTCCATTATTTGAGTAATGCTATAGAGACAAGCTGAGGACAGGCTCTTCCTCTGAAGAAGTAACAGAAAATTCCACAATATAGAAAGCAGGAAACAGCTAAAGTCCAGGGATTACAAAATGAGCCAACCTAGCATAATTCTTTCAGGGATATGTAAAAGAAGGTAAGACAGAGCTATTAAATAACTTGGGGTAGTTATATTGCACCTTATCACACTACATTTTCTACTTATTTGAAAAAGTTATTCCAGAAGTTTTGAAGAACTGATTTTTTTAAAGTACAGAAAGAATACACAGTCCTTGCAAAGTTAAGTTATATAGTGAAAAGTTGCCTAAAATTTGCTAAACAAGAGATTCTCTCTTTGCCATCAGTGTCAACATTAAATTGGCCACTACTCAAATGAAAACCAGACCCTAAGTACACAGGGAATGGCACTTTGAAAGGGTGGCTTTACACTATTTAACATAAATAGTTGATTAGATTTAGGAGACAAGTGGTTGAGAGAAAGAATAAAATCTTTGCTACTATCTATAAAAATCAATTTAAAAATATTTACAAACAGAAATACAGCACAAAACACTGCTACCAAAAAGAAATATTATCCTGAGTTGGACATGGTGGCACACACTTGTAATGCCAGCATTTTGGAGGCTGAGGCAGGAGGATCACTGCAAGTTCAAGACCAGCATAAGTTGCATAGTAAGGTCAAGGCCAACCTAAAGTACATAGCACGACCCTGTTTCAAAACACACAGCAAAAAATTCTAAATATAATACCAAGTGAGAATAAAGAAACTGAATAACTCGTAGAATGTACAAGGAGAGCAGGGAAGAATTTTGGTGAGGTTGGGGTGATTGGGGGTGACCTTGCTCTACGCAGGCATGGATAAGGTAGAAAAAGGAAACTCTAAGAAGTCTCACATTTGGACCTGTAGGATTTGTTAAAGGGTCCAGGTTATACATATGTGAGCTAATTATTAAATTGCATAGACTGATACACTGCCATCCAGTTGAGAACTCAATAAAAACGTCAAATTAGCTTGAGAACAATCACGTCTGCGGAACGCAAATGTACATACTCTTTTCTTTTTGTCTACATGTTAAAATGATGCAACAAGAAGCACCAACTGCAGCAATGAAGCAGTAAGCCAGTCTGCTGAAGACACAGAGCAGGAAGACGCTAGTTATGTGAGTCTCTGAAGTTACTAAGGAGCTGCTTCCTCCAGATGTTTTGTTCCATGAGATTGTTAAACATCTTTTTGCTCTACTTCTCAAACCACTGTTATCCGACTCATTTATTCTTTTCAGCAAAAAGCATTCTGCATTCATGTATGCCTAGAAGAGAGAATTTGTATTTTTCGAGGTCCTTCAAATAGGCCAGGTATGATTTGAAAGTTCCTTCCTCACAGAACCCACATACCCAAGACAAATACACCAAGACACCTGTGTGTGGACATCTGCAATTCTTCACTTAATAAAGGAATTTTTATCTAGAACATGTAGTATTGACACCTGCCTGCCTATACAGCACCTACTTTTGGTAGCATCTTTGGGTCTGTTGTAAGATAAATTTCCTCTTCAGGGAATCTTTATGGTACACAGCTTTGGGTGGATCTCAACATATCTATTTTTTAATTATTACTTGTATCTTGGTTCAGATATGATGGAGGTTTTGTCCTCAAAGGAATCACACCTACTGCTACTCTGTATTGTGTAAAGAACCACTTCTGAAATGTTTCCCATTAAGCCATCTTCCCTCTATGATACCAGTTATCAATGTATAATCCATTTGGTCCAATTCACCTTTACCTTCCTTTGCCATATGAGAACTCCACTATATGAACATTTTCCCTTTGTCAGCAGGAGCAATGTAGGAGCAGGAGCATCAGAGAGACATTGTTCTGTCTAGATGTGGCCCTGATGTTTCATGCATTCATAGGTGGAGTTGTTAAAATGTGACTAAATCATAAGGCTGCTAGAGCTAAATGTGATGTTCAGAGGAAGGCCCTGCTAGAAAGAGGAAGTCGCCTGGAGATGTGACCTGGAAGATTATGTCCTCCCAGCCCAGCTTTCCCTTCCCTCTCGGCTTCCAGCCACCATGATGTGAGCAGCTTTCCCCACACAGCCCCTTCTGTCATGCTGTTTTGTGTTTAAGCCTGCTAAACACAGGCTGAAGGAGCCAAAATAAACCTCTCTTCCTGTAACTTGTATACATCAGGTATTATGTCCCAGCAAGGAGAGAGTGGTTTAGGCAGGAGCGTGACAGCAGGGTGAAGGGGCTTTTCTTGATGGATTCTATGTATGGTTTTTGCTCTGCAGCTCTGAAGTGCAAACAGCCACGTTCGTTAGCTTGTGCTAATAGAAAGAGTTAAGAATGAAAATCTAATTTCCAATTCATGCATTGTCGGTGAATATAAATGATGAATAACTCATCGAATTGGTTGGCTGCAAGAGACCTAGAATACATTCTGTGAATCTTGTAAAATCTTACCCAGGGTTAAAACCCATGTCTCAAACTCATCAGTAAAAACTTTTTTCTTATGGAGATTTCCTATAATAAACTTACACAGAAGCAGAAAAAGAGGCAGAGGAAATTAAAAATGATCTTCCATATACTCTTAACCTTTGACTTCTCAAACTTCAACAACTGTAAGCTCACAGGCAATTCTGCCAACCTGTTTTATCCCCATTTTCACCCGGTTCTCTTGCTTTGTTGTTTTGAAGCATGTCCCAGATACCTGGACTAAGAAAGACTAAAGCTCTAATTTAAACCCACCCTGTCACAGTTCTAGTTCAACAAATTCACAATTACTAACGTAAGCAAATACAGTTACTTGATAACTATCTCCAGGAAGGAGGAGAGAGTCTGCAGCTAACTCCTGCAATAAGAAATCTGACTCGACACCTTAGTACAAGGATGGTATGTTGAGAGAAGAGGACAGTCATCTGTTCAAAGGAATCAAACTCAGCAGACTTCGAGAGCTGAGAATGTACAGTATGCAAAGAAACTACGAAAATCCTGGCACAGGAAGGTGGGCTCAGGATTCAGAGCTGAGTGTAAAATGAGTCTACACTCAAAAACCAGACACAGTGTAACGATTTCTCCATCCACACCAACTCTTCATAGTACAAATAAACACCCGTAAAAAGTCTTAGGACTCCTGCCCAGGGAATCCTCGCCCTTGCTGGAGGGCGAGGATTATCTCACTACTAGTGCCCTATGGCAAACAGAAGACCCTATAAATACAGGTTGAATGAATGAATCCCTACATTTTAAGGAGCTACTTTAAAGTTTTTCCATATCCTTCGTCGTTAACCAGTACGTTACATGAATTTTTTTTTTTTTTTTTTTTTTTTGGCTGGGCGCACATAAAACTGTACAATGACAGCTCTTTGAGACAAGCGCAAAATTGAAGTCTTCCCTTGACACCGTAATGCGAAGCACTGCGCGTGCGCTATTTGCCAGGTCCGCCACCTTCAAAGACCCTCCAGCCAAAGAATCACCTCTGCGCCTGCGTAATTTGCCACTGCCCAAAAGGGGGCGGGGTCTAAAGAAGAGGAAATGGTCATTGCGCTTGCGTCGCAAATTGTGGAGAGGCGCAGACTGGCTGCGCAGGCGCATCAGGGCCGTTTTGACCGTAAACATCCTGCCGATTTGAACCGAGGATTTGGGCGGCAGGAAGAGCCGCGGCGTAACGGCCGCCATCTTGTTTGTTTGAGTGAATCGGAAAGGAGGCGGCGGCCGTGGCGGCGGCGGGAGCTGCTCCGAAGCTACACCTCACCAAGGCTCCCCCCTTTCCCCGCCCCCTCCCCCGACCCTTTTCCCCCTCCCCGGGTCACGCAGTCCGCGCGGCTCCCCGCGGAGCTCCAGGTAAGGGGCTCGGCCGCCCTCCTGCGGCCCGGCGCCCTCCCCCACCGCTTCCCGCCGCGCTGCCGTCGGGGCGGACTCCGGGTCGGGGGCGAGGTGGGGCGGCCCCGCCGGTCCCGCCGTCCGGAGCCCCGCGCCCCAGCCGTCCTCGCGGCTCCAGCTGGCTCGGGCCGGCCCCGGGGACCCCCGCCGCCGCCGCGGGGCTGGAGCCGGAGCCGGGCCGAGGTCGCAGGCGGCGGACCGCGCGGGCCCTCGGCGACAGATGGGCGGAGGGCGGGACCGGGACCCCTGCACCCGGTCCCTCGGAGCGCACCTTGCCGTCCGAAGCGCCGAGTTTCCTAAAGACCGGAGCGGTCGGCGCGCCGCGGTGCAGCTCCTGAGCCCGCGGACCCGCGCGTTCAGGTCTCCCCGCCAACTTCTCCTAAACTTTGCGCGCGATCGAGGCCGTCGGGTGTCGGGCGAGCGCCTCGGTGCCGGCGCCCAGGGGCTCGGCGGGGGCTCCGCGCCCCGCGCGGGGGTGACACTCGGCACCGCCGCTTCCTTCGCGTTTGCAAGGAGGAATCGCTCGCTTGAGGTCGCTTCGGCCCCGGGTTTGTCGGCCACCGTGAGCGTGGAGAACCGCGCCGGTGGGTTTGGGGGGAAAGGCTTGGGTTAGAGATCCGCCTTCCGGGCGCAAGGTGGCATTTATTCTTTGTGTACCGTATAGAGTGATCGTTGCTTTTCGAAAAATCCCCGTGATTTTCTTTTTTTAAATGAGAGTGCAAGCCAGTAAGTTCTGTGAGCCTGCAGAATTTTGGAGACTTCCCTGAAGATGGCTTACCTAAGTTGTAGGATCATTGACTACCTTCGTTTTTAGTCTTGGACGCCACTAACGAGGACGTGTGTCACGTCACTTTTGCCCTTTTGTGTGTTGATAAAGGCGGTATATTAATATATTGTATAATACAGCTGACTGAGGGTGGTCTGTGGTTATTTTTTGAGTTGAAAACTTGTGAATTCCCAGTCTAACCTAACACGCGGACTATAACAGATCTTACGCTTTGGTAACTTGGGAAATGTTCTGATCTTGAGAAAATAACTGTTACGTTTGTCGTGTTATTAACTATGAGCATGCTGACTGGTTGACATTTTGCTACAAGATGTTTTTCAAAGTTACTGTGGCATCTGCTGTGGCACTCACTGTGTTAGGAATGCTGTTCATTTTCGTTATTCTCTTTAGTGGGTATTATCCCCGCTGCGTAGTCGAGAGAGCAAAGACTCCTGTGTTAAATAACTGCACCATTAAAAACAATTAGGGAGCTAGCAGGATTTGAATTTAGGAGTGTTTGATTATAAAAGCCTTTGGTCTTATGGCAGAGCTAAGAATACGTTCTTTCCCTTTCTTTATCCAACAGTCCCCAGAAGGAACAGCTCGTTCTTCCCTGGATTAGGTATTCATGTTGTCTAGAGTTGATAAATTAGCAAGTACCATCCTTCATGTTTTTATGAAGGGGAGTTGAGGCGCATAGAGGTTAAGTAGCTTAACTTGCTGGTTAGTGGTAAAGCCATATTAGTATGTCTTGCCTCCCAAGTGATAGTTTCAACTTTGATTAGGTATGTGTGCCCAGTTGAAAAAAAAAATTGACCAAACTGTAGAAAGATAGGCCTCTTGCGCTCTGCCTGCAGATCCACTTTCCAGAGGTACTGTAATTGCTGTCACCGGTTTATGTCTGCCCAACAGTATCTAATGCTTAGGATAGTGTTTGACTCTTCATAAGGATGGATCCCACATGGGAGGAGTCAACCAACCATGGATCAGAAAATACAGCCATCCATTGTTTTAATAAACTTCTTTGCAGATACTGAGGAAGGGAGGGGGTCACCCGGTGAAGGTCTGGGACCCCTGAGTCTGCAGGCAGCATATTTGCTATCCTCAGATTATGGTTAGCAAGTTGTTAACAATGAAGCATATTAAAGTATGTACATTGTTTTCTTAGACATATGAGGTTGTATGCTTAATAGACTACAGTATTTTGCAAACATGACTTTTACAAGTACTGGGAAACCAAAAAGTTCCTGTGACTCACTTATTGTAGTGGTCTGGAACCAAACCTACAGTGTCTTTGAGGTGTGCGTGGATTTAAGTAATAATAAAAGTTAAGGGTCACAGTGGCTTACAGTTCCACTGAGGTTACTTCCAGCATAGGGCTCCCCCCTCCCCATGCCCAAAGTCCAAGTACACCAAAGTCTGGGCACTCAAGTCTTACAGAAAACAGTATAGTATTTATATATAACCTATACTTTATCTTCTTTGTATTGTATAGAATACCTAATACGATGTAAATGCTTTGTAAATGTTGTCATGTCGTTTAGGTCATGATGATGAGGAAGGTCTATCATTGTTCATACTGGCAGAGTGGCTTATACCTTTTAACACTCTGGGAGGCTGAGGCAGGAGGATCACAAGTTCATGTCGAGCTTGGGCAGTGTAGTAATTTAAGGAGACCCTATATCAAAAAGATTTTTAAATAGGCCAGAGACATAACTCATTGTGAAAGTCTTAGGTTCCATTCCCAGTATTGCCCTCCAAAAATTTTATTTTCCAATTTGCAGTTGGTTGAATCTGAGGATGTGAAACTTGAACTTACTGAAGTCCGGCTGTATATACTTAGAGATAGTAAGAGCCCCACACACGTGTTTCTTTGCCTACCCTGGAGATTTTTCTTATTAAATTTAATATAATTTAATGTTATGTTTCCTTGTGTGGATATTCTAGTTTTCCAGTCACTTATTGATGGTCAGATAGGGTTTTCCGTTGTTGGGGCTGTGCAGTTAGAGGTGTTGATGGATGCTGAAATTCCCACTCTACTTGTGTGTTAAATACTGGTGAGTCTTGCTTCATCCTCATCTTGGCCCTGTTTTCCCCTGCTGTGAAATGGGCCAGTATCTACCATACAGCACAGTCAGATGCATAGCAGTTGGTGTACTTAGTAAGTTTTCTTGGGGGGCGATGTCGTACGTGTGATTCATGTTACATGCATGCATCTCCTAGGACATGTTTTACATTGATGAATGTCAGTTTCTGCCCAGGAAGTGTGAGTATGTGAAACTTGCATTAGATCTTGCCAAATTGTCCTTCCTAGGGGCTGCACTAATTCACACAACTGCAGTTCTACTGTGCAGTCGTCGCTGAAGAAACCTGAGCTTCAGTTTGACCTTGGTTCTTCGGACTAATCAAAGAAATTGCATTTATTTTGGGGTCTTCCTTTTGGATTACTGAATGATGGGAGACACATTTTATTTTTTTAGAATCAACTGAAAAAAGTTACTGCTTTAGAAAAAAAATTGATTCCAAAAACGTTGAAGTTGCTATGTTCTACTTTGGTGTCTAATGTAGTTTTCTCATAAGGTCTTTTGTAAAGGATTACCAGAATTCAGACTCTTAAACTTACAGAGATTAACCAACGTTTTTTTAAGATTGGATAAAATCGTTTGAAAGGGCAACACTGATTACATTGTCTGTAGATACAAGCTGCTAGTGGGTCCCCCACAGCTCCTTTTTGGCTCAGTTTGGTTATGGGATGATTTGCTCTTGCTAATTGTTTCCTAGATTAATTTTAGCACAGTTCTGCTTTCTGAACCCCTCACTCCCCTGAATCCCTTTGAGCAGGCATCTGTTTAGGAATCTCTGCCTCTACATAGCTGGGATATTTTGGGCATAGTACTCTGACCAGCAGCTGAGGTGGTGGCTATAAGCTGCTGACACCTGTTGAAAAGTGCCGGTAATTTTAGTTTTTAAAACCTCTAGAATTTTCTGCATATGTCAATTATGAGATAGCTTGGTGTATCTCATTTGCTTACTCATTGAGCACATACTTAGTAATTGTGGCAAACAGTGTTTTCAAAGTTTTCTGTTTATTTGGAACAGTGTGTTGCTGCTACAGGGAAGCTTGGGGCTTCCATTGTGACAGTGTCTTATGTTTCTAAGGACACGATTGCATATTGGACTTCTGTAGAGTTCTCTGGGTTGTGTTTGCTGTAGGAGCAGGTTAAGCTTGGCTTTCACCAGCTTTTTGTGGTCACTTATGAGCACTGATTAGAGCATAGGAGCCTCTCCGATTACGAGCATATTTCTAAGCTTTGTGTGTCTTAGTTCTTAGATTTGGAAGAAAGGTTACAGCATTAGCCAGTAGATGAAGCCTTTTCACTCAGTCTCTCTAGAGAAAATTTTCTGATTATGAGATTAATATTGTCTTGGCTGCTGGCTGTGTTGGTTCAGAAAAATAGAAATTTCAGGTTCCTTTGTCAGTAAGTGATGGGACATGAGAGGGAAGGCAAACCCGACTGCTCTGCAATTTCCACCACACCCTCCCTCCCATAGACTTGTGACACGCACAAAATCTCTTGCCTCTGGTATGCTTAATGCAAATTCTCTCTTTAAATCCAGGGAGAGGATTGTAACTGCAAGTACTGTAAGCAAGTTCCCTTTGAAATGTATGGTTCCCTTTCAGGTCAAAGCATGGCAATTACAGAGTTATTCTGGATCTTTCAAACTAATACAAAAGAGATCTTATATACTCACCAGCAGTGTAAGATTGGATCCCACCCACTTTTCCTTATCTTGAGACTTTGATGTTGCTGCTTGTTTATCTTAGCTTCTGGATGTGTGGTGATAACTTTTTAAGCTTTAGTAAATTTGCATTTTCCTAATAAATTAGCAAATATCTTGTGTCCTTGTTTGCTGTAAGTATGGCCTCTTCATTTCAGTTGCTTCTTTCCAAATTGGACTTTTTTTTAACTCTTAGTCTTGAAAGTTCTTTACATTTTCTAGATCCAAGTTTTTTAATCAGATAGTATAGTATGTGATACTTTTTCCCAGCTACTATCTGGTCTTCGTTGTCTCAATAAGACTTTTTCCAAAGCAAAAGTTACTAATTTGATGAAGGCCAGTTGAGTGCTTTTCTGTATAGATTGTATTTTTGGTGTTAGGACTAAAAATTCTTGACTAAGCTTTACGCACCAAGAAATTTTCTGTAAAAGTTTTATAGTTTTACATTGGAGTCTGTTCCAATTGGAATTTTTTTATATAACCTTGAGTGATTGAGGTCACCTTTCTTTTTGGGCGGTGGTGGTGGTTTGTGTCTGTCCTGTTTTGCCCGTGGGTGACAGTCACGCCCGCATCACTTGTTGAAGGCGCTCCCATTGTTTCTCTGAACTGCTTGTGCATTGTCTGTGCCTGGACCCTGTGTTTTGTCCCACTGACAGTGAATCTCTTTCTGCTCTTACCATGGTGTTACCTTTTGTCGTGACCTAAATCTGAAATAGGTGGGCAGTTCTTCCTGTTTTACTTTCCATCGGTGCGGTAGCTTTTTCCAGCTCTTTTGCCAGTCCATACACATTTTAGAGTAATCTTTTCTAGAGTTGTGATATCTCTAAAATTTTATTAGTTGTGTTAAAGTTTCATTAAAACTAAATGCACACTTAGACATATTGCCTAGCAGTTACAGGTCAGGACATTTGTCATAGAAAACTAATGTTCAGGGTAGTCGTGCATGGTATTTACAACAGCTTTGTTGATATTAGGCCGGAACTAAATGACCGTATAGCCTTTAATAGCCGAATGACAAATTGTGGTCTATTATTCTCAAACAGAGTGGGACTCAGCAGTCAAAAGGACCATGCTCTTGATAAATGCAACAAGCTGAAGGGACCTCCAGCGTGTTGTGCTGAGACCAAAAAGTCACGTGTTGTATGATTCCATGCTCTCAAAATGAGATGTGTAGACCGGCCACAGTGTGGGTACCTAGGCTTAGGGACAGTGGGTGCCAGGGCAGGGTATGATGCTTTCGTGGTGACAGAACAGATCCACGTCTTACAGCAGCAGCTGTGCAGACACCACACATACACACACCCTGGCCAGTGCTGTGGCCCTACGTTTCGCCTGCACCAAGCAGGAGTCTGGTTTTCCATGCTGCTGTGGTTGTGTACACTGTCACCACTAAGGTGAGGGCACCTGTCCTCTCTGTGGGGCTGCTCTGCTGTGCCTACACTGCCTGCAACTGTATAATTCTTTCATAATTGAATTAATTATAAGTTATTGTATGTATTTAAGCTTTATTTCTAAAAAAGCAAGTGTTAACATCTTATTACAGCCATGGACATATTAGAAAAAATTTCATTGGCAGGAAATTTTTCTTTGAAAAAGGAGAGTTAATGTAAAGTTTGCACTACTGATTTATCAGACTGAAGTTTTCAGGCTGCCTTTCATTTCTTACGTATTAATACACTTTCCCTCGAGATGAAAGCACTAGGGTATTTTGTATAATGCAGGTATCTTTGAGCCTTTGTTGTTCCTCCTTTTAAAAGCAGGAGCCTTGTGTTTGCAGAGGCTTGCTTGCTTCAGGTCTCACAGGGTACTTAGCTTAACTCTTTTTTCTCTCTCCAGGTTTTCTCCTGTTTCGTAGTGGACCAGAACAATGTTCTACGCACATTTTGTCCTCAGTAAAAGAGGGCCCCTGGCCAAAATTTGGCTGGCGGCCCACTGGGATAAGAAGCTAACCAAAGCCCATGTGTTTGAGTGTAACTTAGAGAGCAGCGTGGAGAGTATCATCTCGCCCAAGGTACGTCTGCTATTGGTGCTGCTGTGCAGTTTGTTCAAAACAGCTCTTCAGGTGGTCTGTTGGTGTTTGTTGGAAACAAGGAAAACCTGACTTCTCAGTTTTGTTTTGCCTTTATCACCTCTAGGTAGGTATGGCTATGTATGTCACAGTTTGATTTCTTTTTTAAAATTCCCTGATTACACAGATACTTTTATTTGTTTTAATGGCAAATAAGTATAACATACACACTACCGAAGTATTTTTATAATTAAGCTTCTAGATGTTTTTGCACTTCAGGGTGTAAGTATTTAGAAATTTATAAAATATTCAAAGTGAGGGGCTCATTACATTTCAGGCCCCAGATTCACCTGTCTGCATCTGTAGATGGATGCTAGAGCAAAACTCTTCACAATGCTTGCTTTACCTCAGCCTCGCAGCTGCCTTGCTGGTTCCCTGTCGCCAGTTTTGTGCACTGGTGTATCCTTGCCAAGGAACACTTCTGCGCCAAAAATTGCTCCCTCCCAGTAACGACCTCTGACTTCCACAGGAGCCTTGAGGAACCCTTGTTGACTTCTGCAGGTGTAAAGCAGTGGTTTCTACACTTGTATTTCACAAGTAGTATAACTTAAAGCACTGTAGAATCTTTGCTTCACCAAGAAAAGACATTTAAAGCACGTAAGATACAATTGTCCTCTACTACGGTAATTAGCACTATATTGAAGAACACACATGTTGACATCAAAAATGTGAGAATGGCTCTCTCAAAGGAGCTATCCTTAAACCTGCTATATCTATATCTTAAACCCTTTTCTTGTGCCTTGTGATTATACCTGTACACAATTCCCTCATGCATGTCCTGTAGTGAATGTGTTCCAGCTCATAGCTGTGGGAACCAGCATTGGGAAATACTCTTCTTAGATTTGCCAGTTTAGGCACAGTGGGCATGAGGTATTCAGTAAAGATTCCTTATTGTTGGAACAGTTGAATCTCAAGAATAAGGCAGCAAATATAGCAGAGACTGGGTCTGAATAGTTTGCATATTACTAAGGAAAATGAGCCAACCTGAAAAGCCTTCATAGAGTACGAGTCCAGCTCTAGGGCACTATGGAAAAAGCAAAACACTACAGCTAGTAAGAAGATGTAGAGTCAGGGAGAGAAGGGAGGTATAAACAAACTTTTCTGCCTTTTACTGTGATTTGTGCACATATTTGTCCAAACTTACAGGATCTACAAAACCCAGAGTGAATCCTAATGTAAACTGTAGACTTTGGGTAATAGTAATTTTGGTATAAATTTGTTAGTAAAATAAATGTGCCACTAAATGGGACTCTCCATAGTAGAGAGGCTCTGCATGTTTGGAGGGGAGTAGGTGAAAACTCTCTACCTTTGCAGTTTTGCTGGGAACCTAACATTGCTAGAAAAAAGCCTTTTTAGACACTGTATCACAGCTTTGGGCAGAGCTTTTCTTGCATGCAGTCTTAAAACAAGTCATATAATGCAGGTTTATGTAAATATATGTGTGAAAAATCTTTATGTGTGCACATAAAACATATACATGGAAAAGCATAGAACATGTGCTAGACTATTAAAGGTTTAGTACTGAAAGATCTACAGGTTGTTTACTTTCTTAAAAAATAACTATTTACTAAACATTTCTGGTTAAGTCTCTTCCACCCCCAAGCCTTTCCTTAAGATCAGTGTCGAGGAGTTGGTAGACAGTGGTACTCTTCGGACCCTTGGCATGCATTAGTAATTTGCTGTCTGAGGGGGTTGTGGCATCTTGATGATGAGAAGGTGCTTGAGAGCATGATGCTGCATTAGGTGTGCTCCTTGAGCAAGCGTGTGGCCAGAGGAGAGCTTCGTGAGAGAGCTCCTCTGTGGCGTCCGTCGGCAGGGTGTTGCGAGTCCTTCAGGCCGACGCTTCACTACATGTGCACAGTGCTGGTACCCTGTTGGGAGCACTGCAGCGGCGGAAGGCAGCCTGCGCACAAAGCACCACAGACAGCCACGAAACACTCCATTGGGGTAGCGGAAAAGGCAGTGTGTGTGCAGGAGTGAGTACGTGGCTCACTTTAAGGTTTTTTAAACTCCTGTGAGTGGGGTTTGGGTGGGTCTTCCTATCGCAGTAGGATATAAAGGCGTTTCCACAAAGTCAGCTGTTGCGAACACCTCTGATGCTGGCTCAGCCCCTGGAGTAGGTCAGACTGGTGGCTTGGATGCGCCTCAAGGCTTGCGCGGTCTCCCTTTCTCCTGTTTGCCGGCTCGCAGAGCCTGTCGCATCCTTTGCAGAGCTTTCTGTGGCTTGGCCTTGGTCTTGCTTCGATTACGGCATTCTGCTTCCCTCGCTCTGCACAAAAGCCCCAATGCCGTGTCTCATTTTACCTGCCCTGAGCCAGACCAGTCCCGAGAGGAAGCTTTTGCCCACACACCAGTTTGAGGAAGTTGCTAATTCTAGACCAGGTAATGACAGGGACAGGCAGAGATTTTCTCTTCCTTCGTTTCGGGTCAGTGAGAAGACAGCATGCGAGTAGGTTCTGTTTCTCCGTTCGGAGCAGTACTTTGCTTGGGAATTTTTTGTGTTGGGTTCATCACTTTAGGTCCTCCATTGGCTCACAGGTATGTTACAATTTGAGGTATCTGAAAGTGTATAGCAGCAAACTTTATAGTTTATACTGTGGTTCTCAAGTAACCATAAATACAGAGATAAGAGTTGCAGTTAGGTTCCTTATTGTGCCATGTACTACCTTTAAAACTATAAAACACGTTTTACTTTAAAAGTAATGTAATGTATAATTGGTCTACATTTTAAGCAGATGATTAACAGTTTTGTTACCTGACAGTTTGGTGAGTTTTATGTCATGATACGAAAAACTACGTTGGGAAGTTTGAGTTCCTTTTGTCTAACTTGCCATAAATTTTGCTTGTAGCCCAAGGAATTGTGAATATTGCTTTTTAGACTAAGTGCTTGTCTCTTTTTCTCATTGAATAATGATTCTCACACCGTGTACATTAGCATTGGTCAAGATCTGTCTTGAAATTAAACTGAACAACAGTGAACTGTATGTTTTCTGATGAAAAAAAGATGGCTTTGGTATTCTTTGCATTGCTGTGTTTTTCTGTCAAGTAATAAATAGAAACATAATGGGAAGTGGTTTGAAAACCACTGTTACTGAGCAAATTGGAAATAGGAAGATCCAGGATAAGTGCTCCCTGCTCAGGGCTGCTGGCCCGTGCTTGTGATCGAACCTCAGTTCCAGGACTGCCGGGCACAGTTGACGCTGCCCGTACAGGGCAGGAGAGGGCTGGGGGAAGCTGCTCTCAGACGCCCCTGGTGCCTCACCTTACTTCTCTGTTGGCTGAAGTGCAGCATAGGTCACTCGGTTGCATTAGCAGAGAGGGATGAGAGCAGCATCCTTCAAGGCTGGGGACGTTTGCTTCGGAAAGAAAACCAAGTGAGGAGGCCCTCGGGGAGCAGGGGCCCATTCAGGTCCCGTTTCCCAGCTGCCTTCACAGCTGGGTCAGTTCACCAGTTACTGCTGGGTAGTCTGTTTCGGGAAGGGAGTACTGAAGGGATTTACTGGTCAGCACTAAGAAATCAAAGCAGGTGATTATGAGGTAATAGGAGTAAACACTAAAGAGGTATAAAGAAAATGTCAGCAGCTCTGTATACAATAGCACAGAAATACAGGCTTTGAGCTGTAGTTACCTCTAAAAACATTAAGCTATGCTAATATTGCTGTTTCATTCCAGGTAAAGATGGCGCTGCGAACATCAGGGCATCTCCTGCTGGGGGTGGTGCGAATCTATCACCGGAAAGCCAAGTACCTTCTCGCAGACTGCAACGAAGCGTTCATTAAAATAAAGATGGCCTTTCGGCCAGGTATTGCATTTCACTTTCTTTTTTTCCCCCCTAACCTTTGGTATTTCCATGTTTTATTGGAAAATTCTTAAACACATATTGTAACTCAGAATATTGTTTTATTTCCGTAACAGTGCAAGGTACCCTTCAAAGATGGGTACAAGCACAAGAGACTTTGGAGGAGGCAGTATTCCAGGGAAACCCACCTGAATTGCATCTACATGAGGAATAATTATTTTTCACTTTTCCCTGAAAACTTACATAAAAGTGATTTTGAAATATAGACAACTTGCTGGGCATGGTGGCTCACGCCTGTAATCCCGTACTCGGGAGGCTGAGGTCGGAAGATCGTTGCGAGTTCAAGACCCACCTGGGCTACAAAGTGAGCTCAAGGCCAGCCTGAACTGCATAGTGAGACCCAGTCTCAAAAAGACAAAAAAAAAAGGAATATAGACAACTACTTATTATGGAATGGTTGTTTGTAGATCAGAAAAGAGGTTTTAAGATTTGTAATTTTCCCAAGTAATTTTAATGTACTTTTAAAATCAAATTCACTTTTAATGTATTAGAGTATTTATCTGAATTCACATATTCTGTTAATTTTTTAAGCTTTGATGAAATTTTATTTAAAATCTAAATGTATGAGATTCTTTGTTTCCATTGAGGTTATATTCTAATACTTCTGTTTCAGTATATGAACAATAAATGTTTGAGATCTTAAGATTTTCTTTAAAAGTAAAATATTTAGGCAAAGTACAGTGTTTAAATGATTTCTAACATATGGTCCCTGAGTACATTTTATTTAAATAACCGCTTTTTGTTTGTCTTTTAAAGTAGTAGATATGTATTGTGGTTAGCTTAAAATGTCCTCTTTTTTCCTTCCCTTACACCCCTGTCATTTTAAATTTTATCATGTAAATTTTTCAGGATAGTGAAGATTGTGCCCCCACTTTGCCTAAAATAACCTCCTCCTTCGCAGTCATTTCTTTCCCCTCATGACTTTCATGTTTAATTAGAAAACTAGTATTGATAACTAGTGCTTAGGCTTTTTTATGTGGAGCAGGTGGTGTGTGCCTTGAGTACGTGTGCTTCACATGAGATCGTTCTCAGAGGCCCTGAATGCGACCTCAGGAAGTCCCGCTTCTCCTGCCTCCCGTCCCTAGGGCATCTGTGGACAGTCAGATCTTCAAGCTTAACTTTCCTTTTCCAGGTGTGGTCGACCTGCCTGAGGAAAATCGAGAGGCAGCCTACAACGCCATCACATTGCCTGAAGAATTTCATGACTTCGATCAGCCGTTGCCAGACTTAGAGTACGTGTTCTCTGTCTGTGTCTGTCTCTAGCTCCTCTTCCTCCTTCCCTCCCGCGGTCCACTGGCTTCCAAGTGTACAGTTTTGGTTGCAATGTTTTTATATGGAGTTAACTAACTAAAGTATGTATGCTTTTATTGAGGATAAGATTTTTTAAATGTAAAATGTGTATCTAGAAAGTGTTTCTTCTGTAAGAAAATTGGTATCAACTTGTGAGGCAGCTAGGATATGAGAATTCAATTACTGCTGAGTATTTTTTCAGAGGTATACATTAAAGTTAAAACCAGCCGTACTCCTGGCCGAGCTGTACTCAGAGCCCGTGCGAGATTGTTTGTTTTTAATACACCTTTTTGTGAAGAGCACAAAAAGTCATCGTCACCACCCCCGCAGAGGAGAGAGTGGTGCTGAGCCGGAGGCCGTCACAGCAGAGCATTGTCTCCTGCTTCTTGGCTCCCAGGGTCCAGGGCTGCAGGGCCTGGCCGCAGCTGACAGCAAGGAAGTCCTCTGTGCCCTGCCCACTCTGCTTTTTGAGGTGATCTGTGATTCAATCAGAACAAGTGTTGGTATTTCATCTGTTTGCCCATTGTGTGTTAGTATTGGACAAGATTTTGCTGTTTTACTCTTTTCTCTACTTATACCTGTCATTTTATTTTAAATTATTTTATCACAACAATTTTTAAGCACAGCTAGAAGAGATTAATTAGTATTCTAAGCCTGGTGTCAGTTTGTCAGTATATCACTAGATTTTTTGTTTTGTGTTTGATTATTTGGTGGGGGAGAACTGTTTGGTTGGTTCTTGTGGGGTTTTGGGGGGGGGGGTTTGTTGTTGTTTTTAAGATCCTACAAGCTCTGTATCTCTTCTGTTTCTTTCCATTTATGCACCAACCAAACGTGATCATCTGTTTTGAAGAATTTATGTTCTGGATTTTTCCAGTAGCATTCCAGAGTGGTGTTTAACATTGTGTATTTTTTAAATTAAGAGGTAATTAGTATATTCATGGACAGGGAATCTGGTCTCAGAAAAGTCAGGTAACCTGAGTCCATGCAGCTGTAAATGGAGGGACCGGCCTGATGCGAAGCGAGGGCTCTCTGGAGACTAATTGTTTCACCCCTCTACCGTGTCTGTACCATCCTCTGTTAGAGATTTCGGCTTGTGTCATCATGGATTCTGATGGTTTTCATGTTAGAGGTACACAGTAACTTCCAAGTCAGCCTCAAATTAATTTTGAAATTTAAATACGAAGCTCCTAAAACTTGGCTAGCTTTAAGCATAGAAAGAACTAAGCTATTTCTCCCTTCATAAATGCATTACAGTTTGGACTTGACACTAAAGTGGATTTGAACTCGTTCACAGTGATATCGATGTGGCCCAGCAGTTCAGCCTGAACCAGAGCAGAGTGGAGGAGATAACCATGAGAGAGGAAGTCGGGAACATCAGCATCCTGCAGGAGAATGACTTCGGTGAGGACAGCGGGCTCGCCATCAGTTCCCACCCAGCTCTGTTGTGTCCCAGCTAGCGATTTCAAAGGAGACTGAACTGTAACATTTTTACTTACTACATACTACATTCTTATGACAGATAGGCAGTAAAATTTAATTTATTTTTTCAGGGAAAGAATCTGTCTTGCTGTTAGCAGAGTAAGCATCATTTCCTTTAATAGACCAAATGTGAGTTCATTTTTTGCCTGCTCTGCTCCCCATACACAGCGGTAGAACTTGTAATTTGATGTATATGGAAAAGTCCCAGCGTTAAAATAATATTTACTTTTTAAAGTAAGCATTTGGACCCATTAGTTGATTGGTACAGCCACTGTTCCAAGCCTTGGATATTTCAAACTTGATACCAAACCACATTCTTGCCTTGATGAAAACTTGTTTAGCAGAGTTAAAACTGTAGAAGGTCAGTGTAACCTAACATACCTGTGTGTTTCCCTAGCACATTTAAGATAGCCTGAGTTTAGAGTAAAGTCTGATGATGTTATCTTGGCCCCCTGAGTTGCAGAGTTTAAAAGGGCAGATAAGACAGATGTGACATCTCATTGTAACACAGCATTAACTGTTGTCTCTTTTAACTGATGGCTTTCTGCCATCTGCCCAGGTGACTTTGGGATGGATGACCGTGAGATCATGCGGGAGGGCAGTGCTTTTGAGGATGATGACATGCTGGTGAGCACCAGTGCCTCGAACCTCCTCCTGGAGCCTGAACAGAGCACCAGCAACCTGAATGAGAAGATCAACCACTTAGAATACGAGGACCAGTACAAGGACGACAACTTTGGGGAGGGAAATGACGGCGGCATCCTAGGTAGGGCACCGGAAGTCCGCTGTTGGGAAGGAGCCCTTTATTATCGTGGTATTTGGAGCATTGCTAATTCTGTGTCTGGAGTGCCTGCCAGGTGCGCAGGTGTGAATTATGATCGGGTAGTTCAGTAAAGGTTTTCTGTAGTGCTAATCTGAAAGTGTTAAAACCTAACTTCTGTGACAATGCTTGTCTCAGAGTTCTAAACTCACTCATTTATGCTGCTCCGTGCTGCCTGTACTAATGCATTTTTCCATACATGAACTAGAAAACAAATGAAGGGAGGCTTTTCCACGTGCTGTTCACACAGTACTTCTGCGAACTGTCTTGGAGAGAAACAAAGGCAGTTAAATCTCCCGTCCTTTTGCATCTCCCATTCCAATGCTGAGTGAGTCTTCTGTTCCAGATGACAAGCTTATCAGTAACAATGATGGCGGCATCTTCGATGACCCCCCGGCCCTCTCTGAGGCGGGCGTGATGCTGCCGGAGCAGCCTGCGCATGACGACATGGACGAGGACGACAACGTGTCGAGTGAGCGCTCGGCTGTCCGCGGGTGGGGGGCTGCTCGGGACGTCCAGGAAGACCCCTCGGAGGGCACAAGTCTGCCGCTAGTGCACGCTGATACCTGAGGTGGGGCTCGGGACAGTCACCACCTCCGAGGCTCTATGTCTTTCTCCCATGCCCTGCCTTGTCCCTGTGGCTTATCAGCCCGGGGGAGCAGCCTCAGATAGAAGTGCGCAGTTGTTAGTGCCAGTGGGACTTCTTTCAGTCTCAGAGAGGGCTGCTTTTTCCCTTGGTGGGTAAATGTGTTCTCAAGCCTCTTGTGACGCGTTTGTTTTTGTAGTGGGTGGGCCCGACAGCCCTGATTCAGTGGATCCTGTTGAACCAATGCCAACAATGACGGACCAGACGACCCTTGTTCCCAATGAGGAGGAAGCCTTTGCCTTGGAACCTATTGATATAACTGGTGAGCAGGCTTTAGGGTGTGCAGCGGGGAACTGAGGATCCTCCTGTCCCCTCGCCTGCTGCCCTTGTGGAGGACAGCTAGAAGGCGTTTCCCTTTGTCACAGACACCTTCGGAGAGTCTGTCTGCTGTCAGAGTGCGGCCTGAGTGGTCGGTAGAACAGCTCTCCGGCTGCTGTAGAAGCACAGAGCAGGTCCTCCAGTGTGTTACCTGTCAGGCATCAGCAGCTCCTGTGCAACAGTTAGCAACCATCGCAGCTTGCTTTACTGTTCAGTTGTCATCTAGAAATTCTAAATGCTGTAAATTTTGGGCTGCAGTGGGGGAAAATCTAAAAATACTCTTTCAGGAAAAAGTTTGAGTAGCAAAGATTCTAAAAAATCTTCCTTTTAGTGCTTAGCAAACATTACTTAATGGATGGCTGCTTCTGAGCAAAAACAACTCACAATATATGAATTGTGACTGAAACTAAAATGGCTGGTGGTGTTAGAGACGGCAGGGTTGCCGTGTAAGAACTGCCCCCAGGAGAGGTGGGCAGGGGACACCGAGGTGAGAGACTGTCAGTGTGTTGGACTTTTTTACCTCGTGTCTTTCTGACCCTCATGCATGTTTTATATATAAAAATTATAAAGCCTAACGCCTGACAGTGAGATGCTCAAGCAATTTATTTAATACCGTGAGCTTCTCAAAACTCAGCATCATGCTGCCCCCTGTGTAAGGTTGTGAGGATTAGAAACAACCAGAGGACGTGCAGCGGAGGGAGTTCCAGCTCTGTAAGGGGAGTGGGCTTTGCTTTACTTTATCCAGCAGCCTCTACATCTGCCAGGAGTCATAGCTTCACCTTCGCATCTAACAGGCTTTACAGCCACGTGTGCGTGGCTGTCTGTGCCGCGCACGAGCGTCAGCATGCCAAAGGTCTAGAACTTTCTCTACGTGCATAACCCTATTTCCGATTTTGAGAGTAAAGCCTCCGTGACCCAAATAACTTTCTCGTGGCTATGCGGCTAGTAAGTGTCAGAACGCAGTACTCTGGTGCTTGTGTTATTTTACTCAGTGGTGCTTCAGGGAATCAGTAAGGCTGGCAGTGTGTTTCCTGCCAGCCTCCCACAAAGATGACCTCCTTTTCTTTATCCTAGTCAAAGAAACAAAAGCCAAGAGGAAGAGGAAACTAATTGTTGACAGTGTCAAAGAGTTGGATAGCAAGACTATTAGAGCCCAGCTTAGTGATTATTCTGATATCGTTACAACCCTGGATCTCGCTCCGCCCACCAAGAAGTTGATGATGTGGAAAGAGACGGGAGGAGTGGAAAAGCTGTTCTCTCTACCTGCTCAGCCGCTGTGGAATAACAGACTACTGAAGGTAACACCTGGTGTGCCTCCGGCTTTTCCAGTGGTAGCTCTCTTAATGTTTTCAGATAAACTGACTTACATCACCCTAATGCATGCTGTGCTTCAGATCTGCACTCGCCGGGTATTTTCTGAATAAAACATGAGATAGCTCTGCTTCTCCACAGTCCCAGACTCTGGCTTTAGGAGAATTTTTGTCACTCATAGACACTTTTCTGTTTGCACTGGATGCAGATTTTTTCAAAATAAGGGTCAGAGGCCCCTGGTAAGGGAAGTGACACTTAAAAGGTGACATAGCATGGGCCCTGCCTATTTGACTGAAGGCTGCAGTCTGTGGCTGCGGTGCCCACAGCAGCACGGCTGTGAGGACGCGGCTTTTCATTGGAAACACTCACAGCGTTTGGAAAAAGATCCTTGAAAAGATTTACTCTTTGATTCAGCATACTGTGGATTTGAATTTTTTTCCTGACAAAGTAGTGCTTCAAAATACAGGAAAGGCCACTTGTGGGAAGATGATTACATTGTGATCAGTTACAATTTGAGAAACCTAAAATTGTGGTGGCTTACGTGTGAGATACTCTGTCTCACGTGCCCAGAGGATTATTATGCAGCCATTAAAACCATTCAAGTAGGGTTAGTAAGTTGTACCGTTAGGTCTAAAGTCAGTTAAGTTTCTAGTTTATAGAGTAACAGTTTTCAAGTTTTCTAAAATAGCTACATGATGTGAAAACTTGTCTTTGAAATTGTTTTAAGATGGAGTGAAGTGTCCATCATGCTGCGTTTAACTAGAAATGACAATGGTGGATTTTCATGTAGTAAAATTTGTTTTCAGATAAATGTGTTACTCTTTCCTAATAGCTCTTCACACGCTGTCTTACACCACTTGTACCAGAAGACCTTAGGAAAAGGAGGAAAGGAGGTGAGGCAGACAATCTGGATGAGTTCCTCAAAGAATTTGAAAACCCGGAGGTCCCCAGAGAGGACCAGCCACAGCAACACCAGCAGCGTGACATCATCGGTGCGTTCCCTTGGGGTGTTTGGCTTCCCATTTACCTTTATTGCCAAAGTAGAAGTGCGGAATGAAGGAGTAGGCTCAGATTTGTGAACAGGGACACGACGTGGCTATGATGGCCCTGTTGGATACATAGGGACAGGTCTGAGGTTCAGGGGTGGCTGGGTGACAGTGCCATTGCAGGGATTCCCAGCCCTGGACCGAGTCCTGGTGCCCTCTGGAGCCTGTTAGGGACTGGGCCACACACCAGGCGGTAGGTGGGGGCGTGCAGCAGGCCAAGCACTGCCTGGATTTATGGCTCTTTGTCTCCGGAATCACCACCTGAGCTTTGTCTCCTGACAGAGGAGAGGTGGCACTTGATTGTCCTACCACACACGGGGCGTGTGAAGTCTAGGTTGCATGCTCACCAGGATCGAATTCCAAAGCCATTGTCACATGCACGCCCTGTCTGTAGACAAACTGTCCCACTGCACCAGGCCTGGACCTTGGTGTCCGAAGTGTCGGGGACGCTGTGCTGAAGCATTGTCCTGCATCAGTCTCGGGTGCGGCTTACCTTTTAAGGCCTTTTCCCGCTGTGTGTACTGTGTGAACTGTGTGAGGGGACCTGTCTCTGTAGAGCTGCACTTCTCCCGGTTGTCGTTAGAGAAAGTAGCTCTGTGTATGTCCTAGTGTACAGCCTTGGTAGCATTCAGAGCTGTGTGCTAAGGCTCTCTGTGGGTCACCTGCAGATGAGCCCATTTTGGAGGAGCCAAGCCGCCTCCAGGAGTCCGTGATGGAAACCAGCAGATCAAACATGGATGAGTCGGCCATGCCCCCACCGCCACCCCAGGGCGTGAAGCGCAAGGTTGGGCAGGTGGATCCGGAGCCCGTGATCCCCGTAAGTAGCAGGAAGGGTGGCAGGAAGTGTCCGAAGGGCCTTCTGCAGTGTCGTGAGTTAAGCGGAACATGACAAGGAACAGGGCCGAAGAACGACGGCTGCTGTGGACGTGGCCCCGTGGTTCCGGAGCTGTGCTGGGGCTCTCCTGCAGGAGCCTTGCTTCACAGTGGTCCGAGACAAGCAGCCTGGGCGGGGTGGAACCGCGGCTCTGAGCTGGTTCCCGTTTATGTGGCAGACCCTCCTGTCTGTCTCTACTGCAAGGCAGTTCTAGGTTAGCTTACTGAACAACCAGCGTCAGCTTCTCAGCTGAAAACATGGAAAGCAGTGGCTGAGGACTCCATTTATATTTTGGCTACCATTGCATTCAGGTATATTAGAAAAAGGAGGTCTGCTTTAGTTCTCCCCAATTTTAAATCTGTAGGATAAAGTGGAGGGAAGGAGGCTTTTGGTAACTAGCTCGGCCTGCAGGGAGAGCTGTGAGTAGATTGCTCTGCCACTTGGAAGAACCCTGTCTCTGCCCTCTGCTGGCAGGGACTTGTCGTGAGAGTGTTCTTCCCTGTGAACTCAGGAATAGGGACAGGTAGGGTAGGTGACTAAATGCCTTGGTTGAGATTTTGATTTTTAAAATGTTCTCTACTATTAACCTCAAAAGGAAAGAAATAACAGGAAACAAGCTCAGAAAAACCATATCATTCCTATTATTTGCTAGTATAAAAGTTTGGGAGTCGGAACTTAAGATTTTAAAATACATTTTAATAATAACTTTAAAGACAGTCTTACGAGATGTTAGTAGACCAGACTCTGCTAATGGGTTGTATTTTTAGTTTTTGTTCTAAATGTTCTTGCATTGTTTTATTTTTGTTGTTATTTCTTTCTTGTTTTGGCTTATTTTTCTACTTCAGAGTTTTTCAGTATTTGATGTCTAAAAAATATAAAAATGAAAACCTTATGTTTTAAGGTAACAGTTAACTTTCTTACAAGCTACTTTAATGTCACTGGACAATTTAAAAAAAGACTATTATATTTTTGTTTGTGGGAAGCTGGAAATAGAACCCTAGTATTTCCTGCATCCTGAAAGTGTAGCATGTGTGTTTGCATGTTAAAGAAGCTACCTTTCATGCACTTCCCTGGTGCTGCTTCTCAGCCTCAGCAGGTAGAGCAGATGGAAATCCCCCCTGTAGAGCTTCCCCCAGAAGAGCCTCCGAATATCTGCCAGCTGATCCCAGAGCTAGAGCTTCTGCCTGAAAAGGAGAAGGAGAAAGAAAAGGAGAAAGAAGACGAGGAAGAGGAAGAGGTGAGGCAGCTGGAAAACAGATACCTGGTGGATTTGGAGTTCCTGTCCAAACTAGGCAGAACTCCTGACCGTTTTACTTTTAGTGTTGGGCTAAATTGGGTGAAGTGGAAAATGTTCACCTGGGATCCAGATGCTTAATAGCATGATGGTCACAGGCACATCCCATTTAATGCCGGCACTTTGTGGCCTTGAAGGGACACAGGCCGCCCTTGTGCTGCCTGCTCGCTTGGCTTCTCAGGTGCTTGTGGCTGCTGTTGATTATCTGTGGTCAGTGGTCAGAGCTTACCGCGAGTCTCATCAGCCTCAGGTATAACATCCTCTCTGTCTGTGGCCCAGAAACCAAGTGACAAACATTTTCCATGTGTCTCTAGATTCTGGCTTCGTTTCAGTGAGACCAGGCTAGGGCGTGACTCGTGAGTGTCAGAAGGGCTGACTTCCAACAAAGCTTCGAGATGCATTTCCTTTCCTTGGGGTGTCTTAGTCCATCTGGGCCCTTCAGCCACAGAGCTCATGCTTGCTCTTCACTCGAGCACCGAGTTGCATGGGGCCCCCAGTGCTGAGCTCCCAGCTGCGCAGTCTCTGTGCCTGTCTCGGTACCCAGTCGGCTGTAATACTGCTGTGCCATCCGTGGTGTCTGAGGCTGCCGGCCCTGCCATTTGGAATGTGGGTTCTGGCGTGGCGGGGCGGGGAGCCCGGCAGCTGTTGGCCCAGCCCCGCAGCACTGGGACTCACCAAGTCTCTGCGGCACTCTGCCCGAAGTGCAGCGCGTTGCAGATGAGAGCCCGCTTCTCATGTGCGGTGACATCCGCCAATACTCAGCCAGTCAGCAGGCACCTTAGTGTGGTGCCAGGGACAGCCCCTGGAAATCATACTGCACACACAGGTAACAAGCATTTAGCTAAAGGAACCGTCACACTGGGAGCCACCGCTGATTTATACTCTGGCATAGATTTGTTAACAGAGGAACTGGTAACAAGTCTGATGACCAACAGTGTCCCGGGACCATTCTGTGTAAACCGCGTCCTTCCACAGCAGTGCAGAAGCATAGTTCAGTGCAGGGTTTGGGTGCTGGGGCAGGGCTTTTCTTTGTCACCAAAGAGGGACAAACTTTCTAGAGCTTTCAGGTAATGCACAGTGTTTTATTTTGCAACAGAGTAGCTTTAATGGGCTTTGGGGGTCTTCATTCAGGAAGAAGATGCGTCAGGGGGTGATCAGGATCAGGAAGAGAGGAGGTGGAACAAGAGGACTCAGCAGATGCTTCACGGTCTTCAGGTACGTGAGGAAAGCCCACAGGAGAGGCCTCACCAGACCCTGTCGGCGCAGCTCCCCCTCCCCTCAAAGTTACCTGTTACGATGGGAAAACAGACCTTTATGGAACTTGCCAGAACTACGTCATTTTAAAATAGTCTCATGGAATACAGAGGCCGGCCAGCCGGAAACATCCAGAGTACTTTGCCTTGGTTTTCCTGGAAGGCAGACCTGTGGCGATACTTCAGGGAAGCCCTTAGCGTGACTCCCTGAAGCTGTGGAAGGGGATGTAGCATCTGGCATTGGCTGGGCCTGCGGCCTTGAGCCAGGTACAGTCCTCAGGTCTGTGAAATCCCCAGCAAGCTGCGCTCGCCATTTCCTAAACCAGACGCATGCAAGGTCTGAAGGATTTCATGTTTAATTTGGTTGGGTTTTTGTGTTTTGTTTTCACTTTTAAAAACTAGTACAAGTGGTAGATTTTGCCTGTATGTCACATTAGCTGTCCAGAGAGATGAATGACATCATGTGTGGGAGCAGCTCTGCTTTTCTGGACTTCGCTTTGCTTTTGGACAGACCAAAATAACGCTCTGGCCTTTATCTTCCCCATGAGCATGTAGTGTTCCCCCAGTTCCTGACAGTGTATAGTTTTTCCATACCAAATTGGCACCCATTTACTGTGGAGATTCCTATTACAATTCATTCTTTTTTGAATTTTATTTCAGCGAGCTCTTGCCAAAACTGGAGCTGAGTCTATCAGTTTGCTCGAGTTATGTCGAAACACAAACAGAAAGCAGGCCGCGGCGAAGTTCTACAGCTTCTTAGTTCTCAAAAAGCAGCAGGCGATCGAGCTGACGCAAGAAGAGCCCTACAGCGACATTATCGCCACCCCCGGACCAAGGTTCCACATCATCTGAGGAGTCACCCGTGAGACCTAGTGTTGGTCACTAGTGTGTGCAGCTTGCCCCGTGTGCGGGCACACAAACGCTTTGAAAAATTTTAGATTTTTTTGTCTGTACAAAATCTCTGCCTTTTCTTTCATTTTTCCAAGTGTTTTTAATTCATGGATTTCATCTTTAAGGGAAATTGTTTATAAGGGTTGTGTTTGTGTAGCAGTGGAGAAAACAACACCCCAAGGACCCAGAAGATGATTTTAACAGTTCAGAACAGATGTGTGCAATATTGGTGCATGTGATAATGTTAAATAACTGTCGAAAGTCATGATTTTTAGTTCCCTGTTGCTGCGTCAGGAGGAAAATGCCCGGCAGTGTAATGAAGAACCGTGGTATGTGTCGGTAAGAAAAGGTGTCTTCCCATCAGGAAACCAGCAGTCTGGCCGCCCTGTGCGCGGGGACGGCACCCGCAGCTAGACAGTCGCCCCGAGGCCAGACGTTTTAGAGTGTAATTGATGAGGAGCAGGAGCCTGTGCGTCTGTGTGGTGACGGATCCCGTCAGCCACGAAAAGATGGGCCTGGCACGACGGAGAACATGCCGTCATTCTGTTGCGACTTCATAACGAACTTTGCTGCCCTGAACTCTTGTTTTAGTGCAGATCCAAAATGACCAGAATAGACCTGTTCAGGTGGAGTAACTTAAAAACACTTAGAGCTCTCCAGGAGCTATAAAGAGAGTTGACTGTTCAGATCATGAAAATAGAAATTATTCTGCCGACTGGAGGGGCAGACAGGTGGGACATTACACATCAGGTGGGCTTCACCCTTAAGCAGACAGTGCTGTAAAAACTAATTGCTTCTCTGATATTTATTATAAATGTTAGTACTGATCTCTTCCAATGCTGCACACTCCTGTGTTTGGAACTTTATTTTAATAGCTTTGCAACCGAAATCCTGTATCTGGTTTCCTGTAATTTAAATGAAGAAAAACACATCCAAATAATGGCTTTATTATTTTAACAGACCAGATAGCACCAGAAATTATGAGACTATTAATGATTATCATAACGTCTTAACTTTTTAGAGCAAAATTACACTGAAAGTTGTCTTAAGTGTTGGCACTTTTGTGGGGGAAAAATCACTTTTGAACCTCAGACTTCAGTGTATACCCAGTTATTTAAAATTATGTGAAATGCTTTAAATTTGAGAACTCATAATTACTGTTTTAACGATTCAGTTTTTGAGACTGGTAATTGTATAAAATTGCTATTGCAGTTTTATTTTCAATATTATGTGCCTGTAAACCATGGTCCTCCCCTTTGTAAAAAGACATTGTAGATAATTGAATGTTTGATTACTGAAAGGTCATTAATTTCTCGTTACACATTTTGTTAGTCTGGTTTTTGTTGCTTATCGGGTTTAATATTGTTCTTGGAAATAGTTGATGGTATGTTATGTATAACTTTTCTAATAAAAGTTGTGTTATAAGCTGTTAATTTTGGAGTGGCAGTTACTCAATTGCCGGTGTTTACCAGAAAAAAAAAATGGCTGAAAATATTAACATGGCCCAGGGTTCCTTTGTGCACCTTACCTGGAATAATTATCACAGATGAAGCGCAGGGAGTCCCTGTGACTGGTGGGTGCAGGGTAGCTCTAGCCTGGCATAAAAGGCTACGCAGTCTTGAACCAGTTAACCTGGGTGAGATGCTTCCAGTGTATGGATCTGCAAACCAGAGTTCTCTGCCTTCATATGGCTTACATTCTGGTGTGGAGCCAAAAATCCTAAGCCAGCAGCCTGGAACATTAGGACGGGCCGTTACAGGCAGGGTGCTCAGGACAGGCAGCGGGGAGGTGAGGTTCCAGGAAGGAGGAAGCAGTTTGGAGGTGGGTGTGGTCAGCTGCAGAGTGGAGAGAAGGGCCCGCTAGAGGGGCCGTCCCTGACTTGCAGAGGTGAAGGGAGGCGCCATGGCTGAAGCAGTGAAGATCCCGGGAAGTGGAGCCGGAGGCAGTGAGCCGTGTCGTGTCTCTTCTCCCATTGCTGAGATGAAACCCCAGTCAAAGCAGGAAAGGTTTATTCAGCTCGCAGCCTGTACAGGTTTCAGTCCATCATCGGCTGCGGCCGCGGCAGGGTGGCTTGGCAGAGGGACATCCAGAAGAGAACGGTTCATGGCAGGCAGGTGACAGCAGAAGCTGGCAAGCAAAGCAGAAGCCGGGCCACTGTCTCCCCTTGTACCCAGGCTACGGCGACTGAGTCATTAACCGCCCCCTTAATGCTACCACTGTACCCTGAATCTCACACACTGAATGCAGCTTCTGCAAAAGCCTCGTGACTGCATGGGGCTTTGGGGGGGCAGCTAGACAAAGCTGTAACTTCGTGTCCAGCAGGACTTTTCCTCATTGCTGCCCCCTTCAGTCACCAGAGAGCTTCTAGAAGCACTGCTCTCCGGCCCCACTCCCTGTGGAATGTTCATCTGATTCTTCATCAAGCACACAGGTTTCGGGTGGAAGGAACTTTGAGTCCCTGTTAATCTGAGCAACATTGCTGACCCGGAATAAACCCTGACGATACCACCATGACCCGAGTTTATGAACAGGTCCCCTGGGTAGAGACCTGGTGTCTGTGGTTATATGGGCCAGGGTTTGATGCTTCAGTCTCTGACCCTTAGGGTACCTGTGGGTCTGTCTTTTCAGTTGCAAAGTATGAGCTGACTTCTTGCAGTGTTTTGTGAAAATACGTGAAATAACACATACATGTATCTAAAACTGGCCACTCGGTACATGTTGGCAGTTGTTGTTTAAAGCAAGGGTTCATATCAGGAAAAAATCGAATTTCTGAATAGAAACTACAGATGGGGATGCCAAGTAGAGATGAGACTAAAATACCCATGCCAGGGACGTGGATGCTGGAAGGCCCCCAGCAGTCCCCACCTCCCAGCCCTTGGTCTGCTCGGCTCGCCACCTAAGTCACCTGAATCTCCATTTTAGATTTATCCAGTAATAAAAAAAACCCCTAAGGGAAATTCTGATCCACGCTTTTAGATTTATCCAGTAATAAAAAAACCCCTAAGGGAAATTCTAATCCACGCCTCATATGAAGCGTGATTTTCTGATTAAGTGTTCTTGTAGCTTCCTGAAATGCCTCCTAAATAACCTGTAGTTTTTAGCCACACTTTCCTGCCATTGTAGGAACCTTAGGTTTTATGACATCTTTAAAGGCTCCAAAGAGAGACTCCACAGTATGGTGCTTGCCTGCCGTGTGGCAAGGCCTGGCTTTAATCCACAGCATGCAAAAGTAAGGCGTGTAAGACCACCTTTGAGAATCTTCCTAACAATCACACGATACTAAATCAACGGAAAATAATCACAGATTCTCAGAATTCACATGGGTCTTTCGGTAGCCAGCTGTGAAAAACTCCAAGCCTGAAGGCGGGCAGGACAGTCGCCCCACCTGGAAACCCCGCCTGTCCAGTTTCAGAAGCTGGGTGACCTACCGGTTAATAAAGTGCACTCTGTATGTCTGCACATAGCAGTATTTCTCCTGAAGCCACATTTCGAACACAGCCGCATTGGACCCTCTGCTAGGAAGATGACCGACTTCCCTCGGAGGCACTCGCTTTGAGAGCCCAGCTGTCAGCCTAGTGTGCCCTGCGCAACCCTCTCCACCTCCCTGAACCTCAGTTTCCTCATCCGTAAAACTGAGTAACGAGGTCTGCTTTGTGGGGATTGTGATATGTACATGAGAAACACTGTGAATAAACAAGAACAAAGCACCTCGAGGCAGCAAGTGCGTAGCTACACCCTAAACTTTCTCAGTCACGGCCAGCACACGGTGTTTACGATCCTCCAAGAGTAACATTTTCACATCACCTTTTCTGGAAACAGCTGAGGGCCATACTCAGCCAGGCTGCTGTGTTCCACAAGAACAGGAAGCAGGCCCTGGGCATGGACTCCCTGTGGTTGGGCACCAGAGCCGCCTTCTTGGGTGACAGCAGTTTTAAAGACAAGGAACTTGGGCTGGGGATGTAACTCAGCGGCACGAGCACCCGCCTGGCAAGCGTCAGGTTGTGAGTTCGATCCCCGGTCCCAAAAAAAGACAGAGAAAGTGCTCTGGGCTGCCCACTTTTCCTAAGTTCACCTTCCATCAGAGTCAGCCAGCAAGTCTGCGTAGAGGAGGCCAGCGGGCTCTTTGCTCATCTGACATACCGCAGGGTGGAATTTGATGCTACTACCCAAGTGCACACCATGTGACAGATGGAGGTTCTTATCATATCCATCCCTCATCGCTGGGTGATGAAAATGCTCCAGATGTTTCCAGCTGTTGGAAATACACAGTATTATTAACCGTAGAGCATAGGAACTTGCTGCTGCTACCTGAGTGTGTCTTCCACCATCCTTCCCACCCCATGCCTCCCAGTGCCCAGCTAACTCTTGTCCTGTCCTTCCATAAGATCAGCTTCTTTAGGTTCCACGTGTCAGTAAGGCTGTGAATTAGTTGGTTTCCTGTGCCTGGCTGGTTTAGCCAGCAGCAGGGTGTCATCCTTGTCTGGATGGCACTCCACAGCGACACAAACCACATTTTCTCGGTGCACTCACCCACTGACAAGTGCTTAGGTTGCTTCCAAACCTAGGCCGCTGTGAATAGGAAGGTTTTCTCTCAGGATCACGTGGCCCAGAGCATCTGCTCACTTTCGCCGTGCTTCAGATCAAGGACAAACGTGTACGTGGGCCAGGCCAGCAGTGGAAATAAGTCACCAGGGCGCAGTGGAGGGCTGCCAAAAGAGAGTGTGGAACTGGCTATGGGGGAAGGGGGCACACAGAGCATCTGCTTATGCATATGCATGGGATACAGTCCAACTGCTGGTTGAGAAAAGACAGAATTGAAAAATGTGGAGGTTTCTCAGAGAAGATACAGAGAAAAGGGAACTCTCAGCCACTAGGAAATATATACTGTACAACCAGGGTGGAAGATGGTATGGAGGTTCTTCAAAAAATTAGAAATGAGGGAAATAAAATCAAGATATCAAAGAGACATCTACATTCCCAGGTTTTTGCAGGACTATTCACCATAGCCAAAATACACAACCTACATGCCCATCAGTTAGTAAAACAAAGTGTGGTACAACCACAAAAGAAATAACAGCGTGATACCAGCACAAAAACAGGCATACTGACCAGTCAAATAAACAGAAACAACCTCAAACATCTTAAGCCAGCTAATTTTTCACAAACGAGCCAATAAGTGCTGGAGAGAAGATAGCCCCTTTACCAAATGATGCTGGGAAACCTGGATATCCACATGCAGAAGAAGAGGTAGAGACATCTTATTACAGTGACACATGCACATCCATGTTGACAGCAGCACAACTCAAAACCCATAAATCTTGCAAGCATTTCCAGTGTCCATCAAGAGGTGAATGGGTTTTAAAATGTGGTGTTTACTCACAAAGCCTGCTTCATATTTAAGAACTTTAATTTCTCCGAAGGCCCTTATTGGATTCCCCAGGCCCATGGGAAGCACGCTGGCCTGCCTTTACACTTCGGCTAACGCCCTGCTCCAACATGCTTGGGATGACTGTGGTGCGAGCATCCGCAAGCTAATGGAAAGGTCTACCGAGCAGCAGGCCTTGAAAAACAGAAACCTGGAGACAAAAGTCTCATCTCGCAAATCTCTGAAGCCCAAGGATGCAGAAGTGCACGAGCCCATGGGAAGCAGGAGTCTTGCGGGCCGAAGTCTCAGCTCAGGAATCTACACTGGTCCCAGGCCCAGGATCCGAGGCAGGTGGTTCCTAGCTGGTGTTTTCAGATACTGGCATTCAGCTTCTTCCTTGGAGATGCCATTTCAAAGGGGTGGCCACATCTGGCACCCCAAGTGCGGGTCAGGAAGTGCCCTCTGTGATCAGCTATTACTTACGCTCTAGAACTAATTAGTCCTCAATTGGCCGACAGCTGTTCAGTAGGAAGTTTTCCTACGATTCAAGCTTTCCCAGCTGAGCCAACCAGTGCAAAGTTATTTCCAGAAGGCATTTGTCCAAAGGGTTTTCGTGTCCTGTTCTAATTACCCCAGCTGCTGACAGTCCCCCAGGCACTATGAAAGACAGAAAGGGCACCAGAGGGCAGGTAATAAATCAAACAGCCCTGGGCGGCAGAGCGGGCAGCTCAGCTTTGTTGATTGAGCCTGGCTTTGTGCTTGAGAACCTGGGCTTCATCCTGTGCTGAGGGGGCGGGAAGGCCACCGTGTGGATTACCTGATAGCAGGACGGTCTCCACACAGTGTGTGGCCCACAGCAGTGACTCCAGGGCCATTAGCCAGTTTTCACCCCATTTATGTCTGTGGAGAGCCTTACCCTGGGCTAGGAAGGACTCCAGTGCTGGGTGCATGGGTGTGAACAAAAGACACACTTCTCTCCCTCCTCACACATACACAGAGCTTGCACGTTCCATAAATTTGGTGAGAGAATCAGGGCAGCTTCTCCAAAGAAGTAAACCCTCCTTCAGT